CTATATCTACACTGTGTCATCTGTATGTGTATCTGTATCTATACTATGTCATCCATGTGTATCTATATCTACACTGTCATCCACGTGTATCTGTATCTACACTGTGTCATCTGTATGTGTATCTGTATCTATACTATGTCATCCATGTGTATCTATATCTACACTGTCATCCACGTGTATCTATACCTGCACTATGTCATTCATGTGTATCTGTATCTACACTTTGTCATCCATATGTGTGTCTGTATCTACACTGTGTCATCCATATGTGTGTCTGTATCTACACTGTGTCATCTATATGTGTATCTATAGCTACATCTGTATTATCTATATCATATCCATATTTCTATGTTTATAGCATCTATATCTATATTGTATCCGTATCATCTCTATATTTGTATCATCTGTATCCACAGCCATGTTTATCTGCATCTATATCATCTATACTTATATCAATATTCTCTGTATCTATATCTATATCCGTATCATCTATAAACCTGTTGCCATTGCGTTGATTCCGACTCATAGCGACCCCACAGAACAGCGTATAACTGCCCCACAGGGTTTCCAAGCAGCAGCTGGTGGATTCCAACTGCTGACCTTTTGGTTGGCAGCTGAGCGCTTAACCACTGTGCCACCCAAGCTCCGTATCATCTGTATGTATAGCTATATCATCTGTGTCCACAACATCTCTTATCTCTATGTGTCCTCTGTGTGTATATCTGTGACTAGATCTATCACTGTATCTACATCGGTATCATCTGTCCATGATCTCTTTGATCTCTCACCTTGTCTGTATCGTTTATCTATGTGTGTATCTGTGACTGTGTCTACACCAATATCTATATCATCTGTATATCATATCTGTATCTACTATCTCCATTTGTATCTGCATCCATGTCATCTATATGCGCATCTATGTCTATAGCTACATTTACATCTGTCTGTATCTGTATCCTTTTGTCTGTGTCTAATATCAGTACATGTGTACATATATGTGTATATGTCTGGAGCCCTGGTGACGTGGTGGTTAAGAGCTCGGCTACTAACCAAAAGGTCGGTAGTTGGAATACACTAGCTGGTCCTTGGAAACCCTATGTGGCAGTTCTGCTCTGTACTACAGGGTTGCTATGAGTCGGAATTGACTCAACGGCAATGGTTCTTTTTGGTATATATGTCTGTATAGAGAGAGAGATTGATTTTAAGGAATGGACTTGGGAGCGTGCGGGCTGGCAAGACCAAAATCCACGGCTCAGCTCATGGGAAGCAAAATGTGTATTTACAGCCTGGAGGCAGGACACACTCTAGGGAAACTCCCTTTTTGCCCTTAAGGCCTTTAACTGATTGGATCAGGCCCACCCACATCGTGGAAGGTTATCTGCTTTACTTGAGGCCAACCGATGTAATCCCACGTGACTACGCCATCACAGCGTCTAAACTAGCGCCTGACCAAACACATGGGGCACCAGAGTCCAGCCAAGTGGACGCAGAATTCCCCCTCTCAGTACTCACACCTTCCCTTCCCTGGGTTAAAACGCCTCCCCTGCCGTACCCCGGGCAGGCGTTGACCCAGACCGTTCACCAGAGCTTGCGTGTGTCTCGCGCAGAAAGCAGAAGGAGCTGGAGGAGCAGGAGCGGGAGCGGAAGAGGGAGGAGAAACTGCGTAAGCGGGAGCAGAGACAGCGGGACCGCGCGCTGCGCCGCAGCCAGAAGAAGCTGGAGCGGCTGCAGGCCGAGGAGCAGAGGAAGCTGCAGGACAAGATCAAGTCGGAGGAGAGGAAACTGCTCCTCGCACAGAGGAACCTCCAGTCCATCCGGCTGATCGCCGAGCTGCTGAGTAGGGCCAAGGTAACCGCGTGCGCGCGTGAGCTGCGCGCGGCCCGTGGGTGTTTGCTCCCGGGCGCGGCCGCTGTGCCGCTTGGAAACGTGGGGGTGGGCGGCATCTCTCGCTCCCTGGACTCAGCGAGGCGCAGGTGCGGCTGGGAGGGGCTGGGGAGCCTTCATACCGAGGGGACGAGGGGACGCGGCCCTCCTCTGGTGATCGCAGCCTTCTCCTTCCAGGGTTCCGAGTGCAAGCATGCTCCCGTTTCACCAGGCCCGTAAACCAAACCCACAGCTGTCGAGTCAACTCCGACTCCTAACAACCCTAGAGAACAGAGTAGAACTGCCCCACTGGTAGTTGTAAATATTTGTAAATATTTATGGAAGCAGATTGCCAGGTTTTTCTCCCGAGGAATGGCTGGTGGGTTTGAACCGCTGACCTTTGTGCCAGCAGGTGAGCGCTTAACCACTGTGGTAGAATCTTTGCCTTCCATGCGTGAGACCCTGGTTCCATTCCTGGTCCCTGCAACTCTCGGGCAGCTACCACCTGTCTGTCAGTGGAGGCTTGCGTGTTGCTGTGATACTGATCAGGTCTCAGTGGAGCTTCTAGACTAAGACAGACTAGGAAGAAAGGCCTGGCGATCTACTTCCAAAAATCAGGCATTGAAAACCCAACGGATCACAACAAAATATTGCCCCGTAGGGTCGCTGTGAGTCAGAACTGACTCCACAGTAGTGGGTTGGTTTATTTTTTATTTTAAATAGTGCTGGAGAGGACGGTGGTTCAGTGTTAGAATTCTCGCCTTCCATGCGGGAGACCTGGGTTCGATTCCTGGCCAGTGCACCTCATGCCCACAGCCACTATCCATCTGTCAGTGGAGGCTTGTGTGTTGCTGTGATGCTGAACAGGTCTCAGTGGAGCTTCCAGACTAAGACAGACTAGGAAGAAAGGCCTGGTGATCTGAAAACCAGCCAGTGAAAACCCTGTGGATCAGGGTGGTCTGATCCCCTTGTGTACGGAGTTGCCATGAGTCGGGGGGCCAACGTGGCAGCTAAAAGCATCCACAGCACACGTCAGAGCCCTCCAGACGCCGGCCTGGCACCTGAGGCATCCTGGGGCAGAGGCTTACCTTTTCCCCAGTGGAGAGGGCACGGCGGGCAGTGAGGAGGGTCCGTGGCCCCTGTGAGTGTCCTGTAGCCTCTGGTGCCCCCGAGCCCTGGTCTGCTCGTCAGGCCCTGCCTGCACCCCAACAAGGCAGGCCTCTCAGCAGGAGGATGCAGACTGAGCCCACTCCTTCAAAAAGGGCCAGTGGCTGCCCAGGCGAGGCTAGCCCTGGGCTGGCGTCCCCACAGTCTTCCGCTGTGTTGAACCCAATGGGCCTCTTGACTCCTGGGGTGTGGGCGGCCACTCCGTCCTGAGAGCGGGTCCTGAGAGCTGCCCTCTGTTGCTGCCATTGGCTGCTGTCGCCTGGGGCGGGGGGCACATGGATGGGAAGCGCCCCATGCGCCCCTGGCTTCTGGGAAGGCCGCATCCCTGCGACCCGTAACCTGTTATCTAATTACAGTCGCGCTAAGGCCCTGGGAAGGAGAAGGGCAGGCGAGCCGAGACTCGGGGCGGCCCGGTGCTGGCTTCACGGTGAATATTGAAGACGAGCCCAGCCGGGCCCGTGGCTGGCGCGTGCTCGGGGCTTGGCCCCACCTCCGCTGTGGGGTGAATGCGGGCCAGGCCGGCGCCGCCCCAGGTACCCGCGCTGGCCGAGCGAGTAGCTTCACCAGCCGGCTCCCTCCTCACTGGCGCCCGGACCCTGGAGGAGCCAGGTTGCTTCCTCCGCGTCCGCCCAGCGCCCCGGGGCCCTGCGCCCCTGCTTCCGCGGTGCGCCCAGGTAGGAGTGCGTGGCGGCCGGCTTCTGAGTGTGCTCTCCTCCGCCAGGCCGTGAAGCTGCAGGAGGCTGAGCGACAGGAGGAGCGGCAGCGGCTGCAGGCGCAGGAGGAGCGGCGGCGGCTGCAGGAGGCGGAGCTGCGGCGCGTAGAGGAGGAGAAGGAGCGCGCGCTGGGGCTGCAGCGCAAGGAGCGCGCTCTGCGGGAGCGTCTTCTCAGCATCTTACTCAGCCGCCAGGCGGACGCGGCGCCGCGCGCGCAGGACGAGCTGGGCGCGGCACACGCTGACCTGCTGCAGCCAGTCCTGGACATCCTGCAGAGCGTGTCGGCCGGCTGCACGGCCGCCGCCCCACCCAAGGAGGCTTCGGCACGCCCGGAAGCCGCGCCCCATCCCCGAGATGTGAACGGGAGCGTGGCCCAGAAGGCCCCTGGTGCGGATGCCACGAACTCCTGCGCCGCCCCAGCCGTAGGCTCGCCCGAGAAGGGGTGCCCGGGAGTCCTGGCATGCATTCCCGACAACACGCAGCAGCCCAAGGGGGCGCCCGCCAGCGGCCAGAACTCGCCCAAGAGGGATGCCTGCTCCGAGCAGGACAAGTGCAACCGTGCACCCAGCCCGAGCCGGGGCCGTGCCAGCCGGGACCGTGGCGCCGACGGCCGGCACC